CAAGGGGGCAGGTGATAAATGGGGCCTCCCCGGGCGGTGATGTTCACCAAGCCCCGGGGGGACCCCGTGGGAGGACCCGAACAAGGCCCTCCCAACTCGGACAGGCCGGAAGGTGGAATTCTATCCACCTTTCGGCGGGAGGTCAGCCAGGAGCGGGGGCTCCTGACTGGCCTCAACCCCCCAACAAACACGGAAGGGCGGGGAAAAATCGCGGTAGTCCGGCCTTTCCCGATAAAGACGGGAAACATGAAAGGGGAGAATTAAATCCCCCCCCTCCTTTCCAAGAAGAGACCGCAAAGCGGTCAGACCTGAGGGAGGGTGAAAAGAATACCTCTGGTGATGCCTCACCCTCCCTCTAAACGGTCTAGGAAGGCTACCGGCAGGGGTTTTAGTGGGTATGCTTGGGGACTTTATCCCCAGGAGACTCCCACATAACCCACGGGTCCCCCCAAAACCCGTGGGTATCCATAAAGAATTTCCCCTGCCACACCAAAAAAAAAAAAAAGTATACGCATAGTTACAGGTAAATACTGTCAAAATATATCAGTATGTTTTGAGACACGAATTGTATATCTATTTGTATTTTTCCAATATTACTTACATAATCATTATACTTACATTATACTTAATTATTTGTTTTTATTTTCGTTTAAATTTATAGGTGCATGGCAATATTTTTTAAATGCGAAAATTTTGGAGAAAACCCGGTCTGAATGCGGATTCAACGCAAAAAATAATAATATTAACCAAAATGGACTTTCAGGACATATAACTGGTTATTGGAAGTGTGGCTCCGATTTAAACTGTATTATCGATTCCGTAGGAGAGGAAGTTTTACAAATGAATTTTCGAGTTGCAAAAGAAAATGGAACATGCGAGAAAATTTATCTGCGAGCTCCGATTAGGAAGACGGTAGTAAAGGAATTAAAACACAAGTCAGTGTTTGTCTACCGTGCGGAAAAAGCTGACAAATTAATGAATGAAGGAGATCCAGTATCAGCAATTATTCCTAATTCAAATGTACTAAGAACCGCACGATACGAGGATGAAAGCTCGAGGTATCTGCACAAAAATCCCGTCCAAGAATTAAAATTCATGCAAGACACTTCATTGAAATATGTTATCCATAGGATCGGATTTTCCCCTTTCGTGGTTCACTATTCGACGAATCATCAGCACGAAATTACGCGTGCTTACGCTAATCGTGGGGTATCCACGTGGCTAATTGATGCGACAGGATCCATCGTAAAACCCATTGTCCACGAAAATGGACTAAAATCAGGGGCGATATTTTTATATTTAGTTACCATTTTGTCACCAGTGGAAGGCCAGGTGTCAATTTTTCAGATGCTTAGCGAAGAGCATAGAACCAATCCTTTAGCTTTTTGGCTAAAAGACCATACGGAGAAACATGGCCTTCCACCTCCAAAAGAGGTTATTTGTGAGCTAAGGCATTGATTACGCTGCCATTAGAGCTTTTATAAAAAATACGACGATCTACGAATACGCCGATGCGTGCAACGATGGCACTATGCCATCTTGCTACATCAGAATTGATGTTGCACATTTTATTAAAACTTACGCGAATTTGCTAAAAAAATCGGTTGCGGCAGTTCGCAAGTTTTACCTCGCTTCTATTGGTCAATTAGTATTGTGCGACAACGTGATAAGAGCAGAAAAAATTATTACGGCGCTACTGGCACTTTCACGGAGCGAAGTAACAAATGAGTCGTCTTTCTGTGGAACGCAGTAAAGATATTTGTTTCAAGTTGTTACTTCTCAGGCAACTGCGTTATTTAACGCTGCCAAAAATGAAAACAATTTTAACGAATCACCAACAGTATCACAAGATGCAGAGCCTAGTATGTGGGTGTGGCGGCTCACCGCCACACCGCTGCACTGACGCGGTATAATACACCGCGGCGCCGCTACGCGCCGCAGGCCTTCTACCAGTTACAAGCTTGCGGACCCACCGCCAGGTTGCGCAGGCGGTGAAGAGCCTTCTCGCGATCAAGCTTCGATCGACGAGATATAAAAGAGCTGCTCCGCAGATCTTTCCTCACTCACTCGCTTCAAGGCGAGCTCTCTCCAGGGCCCTTGAACTGAGTCGTACTCTGCCTCGGCAGAAGCTAACCAGAGACACCTAGTCTCGCAGTTTTTCTCACGCTGCCTCGCAAGGCGCGTAAAAAGAAAACAGAGTCCCAGCATCGGCCGCACATTTCAACCAAGCGGCCCGCGGATACTCCACTTTCGCCGTCACCTCCTCAGTCTCTAGTGTGGAAATTAATTCCACTAGAGTTCTGCGTCCGGTTGACTCGACCACCAAGGGACACGCTCACTCAAGGCGACATCCGAATTCGGAGACCTCTCTCTCCTCGGTACACGGAGCAATCCGCAATTCCGAGAGCCGAGACGGTTGCCACCACCAGCACATCAGAGACTCGATCCATCGCAGTACAGACTTCACCGCTCAGAGCTTGCTCAGAGAGCAGTTGTCAGACGGAAGACCACTTCCCGAACGGAGTTCCACCGACGCCGGGAAAGGGGCTGCAACGAGCTAACTCAATTGAACCGTCCTTTTTAGGACCCGTTCAACACACTAAGACGCGGCCGGTAATTTCTTACCGCGCCCGTCAATTTTTCTTTTGATTCTCGGCCTTACACTCTTGCCGAGAAAGCGCCTCTGGCGCACTTAACCAAATCAAACAAAACTTGTACTTTACTCTACTTCTCTGACGAGGAAAAATAAATTATATTTTTCTAAGAAATTGGTCTCAATATTTCAACCAAGTCGAACACAATCCTTTAGGCAATACGCCTATAGTGGGGAAACTGGGCTGCTCAAATTAATAAAAACGTCCAAGAAAAAATCAATTAGTCGGAGGAGCAGGAAGCTAACGCTTATTATCTTCCGCAGTTTGCTGCAAAACTACTCGCAGACATCAAAATGTTGCCTCTATGGTCATGTATATGCACAAACAAATTCAGCTATGGTCAAAAACCCGCGTCGAGTGCTCCGGTCGAGTGCGAGTTCAAGAACTTAATTTTATTGGTCTGATTGCCTCCTCTGGCTTATTTATGACCGTCTCTTTTATTAGAGTTAAATTAAATTTCGGCAAAAAGGCTTGCATGCTAGTGTCGCTTGTTGACGTTAAAGCCCTGATATCATGTCCGTCGTAATTATTTTACAATTATTTGTTAATGTAATTCTACCTGTGCGTTCAATTTTGATTCGCATGTCCCTTTTATTTTTGCACTGTATAATTATTTCTTGTTCTCTATTAGTCGAATACAGCCATGAATTTTCTTTGCTTAGAGCTATCCAAATTGTTTGGTTAGATTTATTGTATCTAACGTCGCACGCATTTTCTTTCGCTAGTCTCGCGTACAACTGTACTTCACAGAGTGCTCTCGGATTTATAGAGTATACTGGACTGTCTGGTTTACAAATATACTGGTTTACGATTTTTACACACTTAAATTTTCTACTGTCATGGTTACATAGGAGGGTAATTCCAGATTAACGGCAATTACATGTTGATTTATTTCCGTAAAGGTGAATAGTTCGCCATGGTTATGGACAGGTAGAGGAATTATTTTTATACAAGCGGAAATCTTAATATAATGTACACAGTGTCGTTCGCATAATACGCGTTAATAGTGGTCACGCGTTGCATGCGTAACCAATTATAAGCGTCTTTTAATTACTTTGTATTAACGTCAGTTGTTCGTTTATTTGTTTTTCATCGTCGGCGTCCATAGTGCCGAATAGCGATTTAGCTAGCGAACCTATTCCGTTAATCAGTCCGCGCTTTCTATTTAATGAATCCTTATAGATACTGTTTAATCTGTCTATTAGTGCAGCTAATCTAACTTCATCTTTCTTTATTAATTCTAACAGATTCGTGAATTTGCTCTTCTCTGGACGAGTAAGATGTATTGTGTCCCACGCGCTTTCGGCTCGCTCAACCCATTCTCTGATATGCTCATGGCGCTGATCTAACGACGATATTTCGAGTTTAATCACTAGTTTCCAGGTAGAGTCTATTATGTTCAGGTCTCCAATCTCTTCGAAATATAACCTAGGCTCTTGCTGGAATTGGTCCAAGGTGACGGGTAGGTCTGTTTCAGGTTGCGTCGCAAGCGCTTCTCGGAGAATTAGATGCCTATTATCAGGTGGTTATAAAATTACATTAGATATGAATGAACATTTTTACCGGTGGGTCGTTAGAGAGCGAGTGGCGCGTTGTTTAATACGGTTTCGACTCGCAAAGATGAACGAAACCTTCCTTGTCGAGTCTGATTTGATAGCGGGAACGCGGCGTGTGTTTTGTCTCCGTCTACCGCGGAAGCCTTTCCCGCTCCTCAAAGAT